CCCCAAATAGCCAGCTTTCCTCCTACCTCTACAACTGTTCATGCTCTTTTCCCTACATCTCTCTCTAAGCTCCTTCAAAGGAGTCTGTCTGCGCTTCTCTCCTTATGTTGTCTTCTGGGGGCGTGCGATGCTCGCAGGACTTAGTGAGCTCAGCTGGGTCATTATCCTACTTTCACCTCGGAGATTACAAATTCCGTCTTTCCGTCTCCAGCCTTCGTTCTGCAGCTCGTTTGCTGCGTGACTTTTTGCAAGTCACATAAACTAAGCTTCAGTTTCCTCATTTCTAACACGAATATATTGAATCAGATTTGTTATTCTTCACCTAAGATAATGATAAAACCTAACATTTTAAACCGCATACCAGCCCAGACATAGTGGTTCACGCCTGTAATCCCAGCGCTTTGGTAGGCAGAGGTGGGTGGACCACTTGAGGTCAGAGGTTCAAGACCAGGCAGGCCAACATGGTGAAACCTTGTCTCTACTAAAAATACAAAAATTAGCCACATGCCTCTGTTATCCCAGCTACTTGGGAGGCTGAGGCAGGAGAACTGCTTCAACTCGAGAGGTAGAGGTTACAGTGAGTCGAGACCACGCCACTGTATTCCAGCCTAGGCAGCAGAGGGAGACTCTGTCTCCAAGAACAAACCACATACTGTGGCAGCAGGACTAAGTGCCAAGGAAAGCCTGGGCTTCTGTGTTCACAGGCTGCATGCCCATGAAGCTGGCTCTAGAACCAGCCTCTGCTCCAAGCATTGTGTATGTATGAGCTTATTCAATCCTCATAGTAACCTTCCAAAGTAGAAACAGATGGAGAAAGTAAGGCAGAGATAGGTTCAGCAGTTGCCCAAGGTCGGTTTTTAATTAGTAGAGCTGAGAAAAATAACACCTGCCTGTTGGGACTGTTGTGAGACTCACAGGTGCAGGTGGCCAAGGAAGGCTGGTTCCTGCCCGGGGCCCCCCGCCCCAGGCCATGCACATTCTCCTGCTAAGATTTAGTCCATGCAGCTTCTGCTGCCTTCGATGCCCCCTCCTCCTCTGCCTGTCCCCAAGCCGACACCTTTTTCAAAGCCCAGTTCAAGCCCCTCCTCCTCCCCGAGGGGCTTCTGCAGCCAAGGCAGGTCCACATCTCTTCCTGAGCACCCTTGAGGTGAATTCAGCGCTACCCCTGCCTAATGAGCACTCCCTGGCCTTTGCCTACTCCAGGCTCAGTCATAACCAGTCCTACAAGGCCAGAGGGAAAACGTCTTTTTCCATATCCTTGGAGCAGCTTGCTGTAGACTGTCTCACCCACCAGACAGGAAGGCTTTGCGGGCAAAACCTATATTTGAGCGTCTGAGTCTTCACTGTGTCCCTGATGGTTGGGATTCTCATAATTCTCCTAAAAGAGTTCTGTCTAGGCTCTGGACCTTTCCCTGGAATGCCTTGCCTCATTCTCCCCTCCTTCATTCACTCTTCAGGTGTCAGCTGAGAGATTACTTCTTCCTCCAGGAAGTCTTCCCTGATTTTCACCCTCAGGTTAAGTGCCTCCTCTGGGCTTCTATTCCCACTGTGCTTTCCCATCACAACACTTGCCTCCCGGTGTCCATCTTCCTAACCATGTTCTAAACATCTTGAAGGCAGAGGCCAGGTCTGTCTTATCACAGTGCCTGGAACATAGTAAGTTCTCAGTAAGTTTTTTTCAACAAATGAATGAAGGAACAAGTGAATGAATGAAACAATTAAATGCTGAGCAGGTGCAGTGGCTCACACTTGTAAGCCCAGCTACTTAGGAGGCTGAGGTGGGAGGATTGCTTGAGCCCAGGAGTCAGAGACCAGCCTGGGCAAAATAGCAAGACCCTGTCCCTATTTTTTTTTTTTAATTAGCTGTACAGAGTGGTGTGTGCCAGCTACCTGGGAGGCTGAGGTGGGAGAATCACTTCAGCCCAGGAATTTGAAGTTGCAGTGAGTTATGATTGCATCATTGCCCTACAACCTGGCAAGAGTGAGACTCCATCTCTTAAAAAACAAGTTGGTGAAAACTCTGGGCTCTGTAGGCACCTCAGCACAGGGCTGGGCACCTGATGGGTGCTTATGGAAATTTATGAAATGGGTGAGAGCAGCTCCAGAATTTCTGTTCAGAAGAAGGTTTAGTGGCAGCAGTCTGCTTGAAGGAGTGAGACTAGGGAATTCCTCTTTACAGAACAATGACAAAGTAAACATGAGAGCTGAGAGTCTGTGTTGGGAGTGGAGGCATAGAGAAGGGAGAGGTGTCCCAGGCCAGATGTCAGCAAGCCCAGGGTTGAGGACCAAATCCAGACCACTGCCTATTTTGGCACGGCCTGTGAACTAAGAGTTGTTTTTGCTTTTTTTTTTTTTTTTTTCTGAGATGGAGTTTCACTCTGTTGCCCAGGCTGGAGTGTGATGGCGTGGTCTCAGCTCACTGCAACCTCCATCTCCCAGGTTCAGGCAATTGTCCTGCCTCAGCCTCCCGAGTAGCTGGGATTACAGGCATGTGCCATCACACTTGGCTAAGTTTTATATTTTTAGTAGAGGCAGGGTTTCACCACATTGGCCAAGCTGGTCTCGAACTCCTGACCTCAGGTGATCCGCCCACCTCGGCCTCCTGAACTGCTGGATCCAGGCATGAGCCACCACACCTGGCCGGTTTTTGCATTTTAAAAGAATATTACTACTTTGTGATCATGGAAATGATGAGATTCATATTTCAGTATGCATAAGGTTTCACTGGGACATAGCCATACCCGCTTGTTTCTGTACCGTCTAGGGGTGCCTCAGTAGCTGCCACAGGTACCAAATGTCTGCAAAGCCTACAATATTCACTTTTTGGCCCGTTACAGAAGGAGCTTGCAGATTCTTGCCTTGGCCGTCTAGCTGATCCAGGGGAAGAAGGGTGCATGCTGCCAGCCAGCCACAAGGTGTCAGCCTTTCACCATGGTGCTGCCAGCCGCTTGGGCTTCTCTCCAAGTTCTCCAACGCGTTCTCTCCAGGGTCACCTGCACAGGACCAGGACTGTAGCCCCCCCCCCCCCCCCCAGATCCCATCCCACCAGGCTGTAGTTACCAGTATGAAGGCCAGAAGACAGCAGGGTGGGTGTGGAGTCTACACGAGGAGTACAGGACTGGCCTGGGAAATCCAGTGGCTTGGAGGATTGGCAGGCTTCTCCGGACATGCTCTGTTTCTTTGATTTAGGTTTTATTTGTATTTTGTATACAAAAGAGTCTCCAAACAAACTAAAACTGTTTATGTCACCACCATCTATCAATCCAGAAAGGTTGTGCGACTTTTGCACAATCACATAAGGCCGCAGCCTTCTAAGGATGAGCCTGCATGAGGGGAACACAGGTCCCTGCCAAGCAGGGTGGTTCAGAAATGGCATCTCTGGCAGGTTTTCTCTCCCTTTCTGTCAAAACCTGGGCCTTGGCTCAGTGCATGCCTATAATCCCAACACTTTGGGAGGCTGAGGCGGGAGGATCACAAGGTCAAGAGATCAAGATCATCCTGGCCAACATGGTGAAACCCCATCTCTACCAAAAACACAAAAAATAGCCAGGCGTGATGGTGCACGTCTGTAATCCCAGCTGCTAGGGAGGCTGAAGCAGGAGAATTGCTTGAACCTGGGAGGCGGAGGTTGCAATGAGCCGAGATTGTGCCCCTGCACTCCAGTCTGGTGACAAAGCGAGATTCTGTCTAAAAAAAAAACGAGGACATGAGTGTTGGTGCAAGCCTGTAGTCTTAGCTACTCAGGAGGCTGAGGATGGAAGATCTCAAGGAACTCATTGAGCCCAGGAGTCTGAGGCTGCAGGAAGCCATGATGATGCCACTGCATTCCAGCCTGGGTGACAGAGTGAGACTGTATTAAAAAAGCAAAAACAAAAACAAAAACAAAACAAAAAAAACAAAACAAACCACCAAAAACCCAAAGAAACCTGAGCTCTGTAGCTTCCTTCAGGTGAACCAGCAGTTAGCCCTGTGTGCAAATGATTCCCTGTGAATTTCACAGGGAAGCAAGCGAGAGGATCTAGGAGAGAAGATCCCAAGAGGAAAATAAGCCACTGGATGTGACACCCCCGGAGGCTCCTCGGATGCCTCACTGTGTGTGTCAGCCCCTGCATGGGTGGGGTGCTTCACGTGGTTACTCTGGAGAGCTATCCTGAGATCATCCCCATTTGACACATGAGGAAACAGAAGTTCGGCGATGTGAAGTTGCTTGCTCGGGCCATTAGCTGTTCAGTGGCAGAGACAGGAGTTTTGCCCTCACCTGCTTGTTCTGAAGCCTGCCCTCTCTCTGCCATGCACCCCCGCCAAGTTCACAGCAAGCGGTGTGCAGGCACACCACCTCAAAGCCATGAGCTCCATCCATGCCTTCCTCGCTCACCATGCATCCCCAGGCCTGGCGCCCAGTAAATATCCACCGGATGAATAAATGAATTCGGCCTTGCATGCACTGCCACGAATCTTTACCCGTCCAATTGCCTAACTTCCAAGATACTTCCAGGAAGAGATGTGGCGGGGACTCAAAGCTGCAAGCAGAAATAAGAATCATGATGCATGGTTCTCTGCACACCATGGTCTCTTTTTCCCCGCAGACTCACTGCCTGTCCTTGCCTTTTGCTCCTTTCCTCTCCCAGCTCCCACGTGCTTGCTGGCTTCCGTGGCAGGCCCTAGCCCATCTCCTATTACGTTGACATCTGCCCCTAAAGCTGCTTTTCGGTGGCTGCAGGCAATGCCCTAACTTCTAGCTATTTTTCTTCTTTTTTTTTTTTTGAGATGGAGTCTTGCCCTGTTGCCCAGGCTGAAGTGCAGTGTCACAGTCTCGGCTCACTGCAACCTCCACCTCCTGGGTTGAGGCGATTATCCTGCCTCAGGCTCCCGAGTAGCTGTGTGCACCACCGTGCCTGGCTAATTTTTTTTCTTGTATTTTAGTAGAGACGGGGTTTTACCATGTTGGCTAGGTTGCTCTCAAACTCCTGACCTTGTGACCCACCCGCCTCGGCCTCCCAAAGTGCTGGGAATACAGGTGTGAACCACCTTGCCTGGCCACTTTAGACATTTTTCTAGATGAAAACTTGTTTGCAGCAGGCCGCCACTGTGAAAGTGCTCTAGAACGGTCCAGATAACCAGATTCTAGCCCTTCCTGTGACTCACTGGGTGACTTTGGACAAATTTCCTCATCTAGGGCCCTCCTTTCTGTGCTAGCTTTTGAAAGGAAGCAGGCAGAGAGGGCCACCTTTGAGCAGCCAGAGGCCTGGAGGCCCAGTGCCACCTAGTCTGGCCCACCCGGGAGATAAAGGCCATGCACTCAGGACAGATGAGGAAAGGAGAAGCCTTCCTAGAGGAAAGGCTTAGATCAGGAGGGACTTTGATAAACCCAGTCCTTAAGACATTAAATCACAGCAGAACCCCATTTGGCTTATATGGGATTAGAAGTCAGGAATGAGACACATGATTGATTCTGGAACCTCTGTGACATCTGTTTATTCACCTGGCTAATTCCCTGTGCTGAATGGCCGTCAAGTCTTCAATCACTTAACAAATAGGTATTAAGCACATATTGTGGTTGCAAAGGTAAGCCAGGCAGGTGAGGCACCCGTGCTCACAGAGCCCGCTCCCCAGGCTCAGGAACCCCAAGGACAGATGGGTACCTATTGTGCCAGGCAGCAGCACATGGCATCTAGGAGCAGGGCATTCCTCAGTCCCTGGCTGGGAGGGCAGAAGCTGCAAGGGGAAGAGCGAGAAGTCCAGGCCTGCCTAACAGTGTGAGGCCTGTGGGCTGATTGCACGGTTCTTCGCCCCAGAACATGTCCATGACTGCGCCTGCCCTTCTTGCCCTTCTCCTCGCTCACCTTGGTTTGGCTCTGCTCGCTGAGCGGGGACGCCTGTTCTGCAGCAAGCCTCCTGCCCCTGGAACAGCAGCGCAGATGATCAGTAGCAGCCACTGGGTTGTCTGGGCAGGGAGGCATGAGTGTGGTGTGCTGCCAGATGAGAAATTGCATCCCTAGAGCACGGCAGGGCTAATTAGCTCCTAAGGGGGCTTTGTCAGTGTTCACTGAGAACGTGGTCATGACAGTCAGGTGGCCATTCCCGCTTGGCCTAACCTGAGTGTGGAAGGCTCTCTGTTGTCAGCACTGGCTGCTTTTGGAGGTGGGTCCACTGCTGGACACATGCTGGTATGTGCAGTGGTGCTGTCTATGCAGGTCATAGCTGAGCCTGAAGGAAGGGGGATGGACTGACAGGGAGCTGCGTGGAGTGAGGCAGCTGTGTGTACATGAACACACCTGCGATGGGGAATATCAGGTGGTAAGGAGCTAAGCAAGATAACCAGAACAGCCGAGCGCAGTGGCTCATGCCTGTAATCCTAGCACTTTGGGAGGCTGAGTGGGGTGGATCATGAGGTCAGGAGATCAAGACCATCCTGGTCAACATGGTAAAACCCCATTTCTGCTAAAATACAAAAAATTAGCCCAGCGTGGTGGTGTGCACCTGTAGTCCCAGCTACTTGGGAGGCTGAGGCAGGGAACTGCTTAAACCCAGGAGGTGGAGGTTGCAGTGAGCTGAGATCGCACCACTGCACTCCAGCCTGGTGACAGAGCAAGACTCTATCTCAAAAAAAAAAAAAAAAAAAAAAAAAAAGATAACCCTAACAGAGAGGGAAGATGCTACTGCATCTCCCAGGAAGCACTGTCTCAGGCAAGTCAGCCAACTTCTCTGGGCCAGAGTGCTGTGTCCAAGGTGCCCAGGGCAGAGTGTGCCTGAAGCACTTCAGAGAAGCGGGCTGTGCAGGCCACCAGGTCATGGCTGCAGAGAAAAGAGCCAGGGCTCTCAACAAGGGCACTTTTACCCCCCAGGGGACATGTGGTAACCTCTAGAGACATTTTTGGTGGTCTCATCTGAAGGGGTGCTGGTGGCATTTAGTAGGTGGAGGCCAGGGATGTTGCTAAACATACTACAATGCCCAGGACAGCCCCGTCCCCAACAGAAGACTCTGCAGCTCCAAAGCATCACCAGTGCTGAGCCCCTAAGCTCAAGGAGCAGGCTCAGACTTGCATTCTCTGTGATGTGGGATTTGCAGAGAGTTGTGTACTTCCTCATTTGAAAGATGGGGATAATGAACCTGTGTCATGCTGGGCATGGTGGCTCATGCCTGTAATCCCAGCACTTTGGGAGGCCAAGGCGGATGGATCACCTGAGGCTGGGAGTTCGAGATCAGCCTGACCAACATAGTGAAACCCTGTCTCTACTAAAAATACAAAAATTAGCCGGGTGTGGTGGCACACACCTGTAATCCTAGCTACTTGGGAGGCTGAGGCCAGAGAATCACTTGAACCCAAGAGGCGGAGGTTGCAGTGAGCCAAGACAGCACCACTGCAGTCCAGCCTAGACAACAGAGTGAGACACTATCTCAAAAACCAAACAATTACCTGTGCTGCTCATCATACAGCTTTATGAGGCCCCCTCCCCCAACACACAGGAAAACTTAACTTTGTAAAGGGCTCTTTCTTGAGCTTTTCTTAGTTTGAAACCTACATGTGACTAAAGTGTCTAGCATGGTGACTAGCAGATAGTAGGTGCTCAATAAATATGAAAAAGAGAAAGGCAACACAGTCATTAAAAACAAACTTTGGCCAGTTTCTTCCGTATCTCTGGGTCTCATTTTTTGCCTAGCCTTTCTATAAAGTTCTACAGAGGCAGAGAGTAGTGATGTCAACGCAGGCTACCTTGAAAGCCCTCGAGGGATCAGGGATAGCATTAACCATACTCTAAGGGCAGGTAGCTAAGGAGATGGGAAATTTCCCCAAATCTCAAGGGGCGGCCTCCCAACACCATCCAGGGGTCCTGTGCTTCCCGCCCTTATGGGGCAGAAGCAATCGTGACAGCCACCCCAGGGGCTCAGCTCATTGGGAGGCGAGGCTTCCCAAAGAGCTGCACCAACTGTGAACACTTACCCTACAGAAGCTGATTCAGAAAGTGAGATAGCAGCTTGGTGGTGGTGTGGGGTGGAGGGCAGCAAAGCCAGACCCCAGCGCTGAGACTGCTGCCATATCCTGTTCCTCCTACAGCCCTTCCAACGTAACCAGCCTTGTGGAAGCTGCTGTGCAGGGAGCAAGGGCATGATCCACCCTTAAACTTGCCATCCAACTGGGAGGGCCAGATGTACCCTTGAGATCTGATGAGTAAGAGACAGCTTCACGAAGTATGTGCGCGTGCTGGAACAGAGGGCAGGCATACTCAAAGCTGAGAAGCCAAGAGGCAGAACAGAGTGGGCCGGTGCCTGGGCAGACAGGCAAACATGAAGAGCAGCATTTTGTGAGTTCAAGATCCTTGCAATCTCTGGACTACAGTTTCGTTCTCAAGCCTTTTGGAGCGGGTGGGGCCAGACACCATCTTGCCCACACTGCTATAAGGATGAGGACACAGGCTGGTGGGCAGAGGTGCCCTGCCTGGGCAGTCCTACCCGATGGCCGGCCCTCTTCCCGATAGGCTAACTTGCTTCCTCCCCAACATATGGTCTCCCATCATCTCTACCAAGGAAGTGTGAAAAAAACCCCATATTGGCACACAGAGAAACTGACGCAGAAAGGCAGGCCTGGCTCAAGGCTGTGGTGACTTGGAGATTCCAATCAGGTATCCTCCCAGATTAGATGTCAGGGCAGGCGTGGGACCTGGGTGTGCTTTGGGTCTAGAGCGGGTAAAAGGTCAAAACAGAGCCTGCTCTTCTGGTAGGGGAGGCGTAAGATGCCCCAGACTGATTTGCCTGGAGGCCAGTCCCTTCCCCAGGCTGCCTTCCTCATCCTGAGGCGCCCACCCTCCACACCAGAGGGTCATCTCCCTGCCCCCTCGCAATTTACACATTTCGTATCCTGTACCTTCAAGGTTTCTGCTCCAAGCTGAGGTGTAACAGCGCCATCCCCCACCTCCCCCCTCTCTCCCTTCCCTCCCCTCCAGAACGAACTCGGGCCAACTTCCTGGCCTTCCTGCCTAAGGAAGCACTTCCCAGAAGCGTTAAAGCTCAAGGAGGTGGGCCAGAGTCCCTTCTCTACACACCCTAGAAGCCAGCCTAGGGACTGACAGAGGAGACCCTGGGGACAGGCTCACACTTCCTTTTTCCTCACCACTGCCAGACAGACTGTGTTTCCTCAATGGCCACCACCTGTGGTCCCCACTTCGTGCTTCCCCAGCAGTGCCTGGCTCCTGCAGCCCAGCCAGAGCGGCCCCTTCCCCTGCTCTCCCATCAGCTGCCTTGCAGACATCGCTACCCCTCCCCCCGATGCTGGTAGTGTCCTGGGGTGTTTTAGAAGGGGAGAAAGAGGCTGAGAGTTTGCTTCAGAGGTCAGAGGACAAGAAAGGCTGCTGCCTGGCTTTTTCACAGGGCTCGGCTCCCCCATCGCCCTGCCTGCAGGGCCAGCTCACAGAGTCTGCAGTTTGGCAATTTCTCCCAGGTCCATCCACACACTCTCCTCGGCCCTCTCTAGTCACCGAAGTGGGGAGGGCAGGGTGGAACTGCCCAGCACCATGGCAATTAGGCTGACTTGCTCTGGTGAGGCACAGGCCTCTAAAAACAGCCTGACTCTCGCGGGAGGCGAAGGCCAGTCTTTGGCTGAAGTGTAACCTGGGAGGCCCTGGTTGGTGAAGGGGTCCGAGAACCCTGTTAGGGTTGGGAGAGAAAAGACAAATGCTCCTATCCTCAGGGCCCAGCCTCCTACACCCCCAAACTCCCTCTTGGCCAGGTCCCCTCCCTGCTGTGGGCTGTAAACCAAAGCTTACTGAGGGAAGGAGCAGGTCAAGGCACTGTAAGGACCCCCCTAGAGGCCCACAGCAGGCAGCAGCCGAGGTCTGGACCACTCACGCTGAGACCGCCAGGACCGCACCGGGCAGGGAGAGAGAGCTCAGCAGCACCAAATTCTGCCGCTGCCTGGGGTTGGCCACGCTTCCCCTCGTTCAGTTCAGAGTCCCTGCGGTGCTGGCTGCACCTGACACCTGGAGTTCAGAAGCTAGAGCGAGACTGGAACTCGGATCCGGGGCTCAGAGCCCTCCACTCTCCCTTTTATTCCACCAATCTCCTGGAGGGGGAACTAGAAGTACCAGGAAGCCTGGGGAAGGACAAGCCACTGCGGTTGTCCCAGACACCCCAGCCCATTAAGGTTTAAAGAATGGCCCTCACCCCATCTGGCGAGCAGCGGAGGGGACAGGGCACAAAGGAGGGGGGACATTGGTCAAGTTACTTCATGTAAACAAGGAGACCGTGGCACTGACCCCCGCCCAGCCACCGACAGTCTGGTGTGTGACTGAGATGCTTCGGACCCTCTCACGTGGGATCCAGGCTCCCTGAGGCCAGGACGGAGGCTGCAGGGCAGGAGGCCAGTTGGAGTCTGATGTGCAAACTGGTGCAGTGTGTGACCCGCGCTCTCCACAGCACAGGGCAGGGCAGGCGGGCATCCACACGTCCTGCCCACCCCCATCCCGCAGCTCAGGAAATCACGCACTTGTTGGGCTTGGCAGAACTGGGACTTGTTTTACCTGCGGAGGCAAAGGACAGAGGTGGGGAAGGATGTGAGTCAAACGCATGGTGGATTCCGCTTCAGCCCCTACCCTGTGTGCTGTCCACACCTGCAGTTGAGGGGCTGGGGTCACTGTCTCCCTCCCAAGCTGCTGATCGGGAAACCAGGTCACTAGGGCACCCAGGAAAGCAGAAGGAGAGATCCTGCCTGTCCCAGCGGCGTGGCAGAGTCCCACTGGGTGAGGCATCAAGGTGACCGCCATCTCCTGACCAGAGGGGTGGGGGAAGAACCCAGGCTCCAGAACCAACGAGGACAACCATCAACTCCAAAGTCTTGGCTGCTCTGTCTACAGACTAGCCATTCTTTGTTTCTTTACTTTTCGAATAAACTTGCTTTCGCCCGTGCGCGCACACACACACACACAAACCCCTCGCCTAGAGGCCACTCACTACCAGCTAATATCTACAGCTCCTCAGCCTGCAAAGCAAGACCACGGCCCTTCTCTCTGGTTCCCATCCTAGGCCCTCCATTCTACCGCTGAGGTGCCCACGGCTCCCAGAGCCAGCCAGTGGCAGTGCCGGAACCTGGTCTTCCCAGCTCAGCTCCAGCTCCGTCTCAGGCCGCCTAGGCTGGAAGAAGGAAAGCCCGTGCCTCGGGAAGGGCTGGTGCTGGCCAAGAGCGGCCACCATGGGGTGGATCACCCTGCTCAGGGGGCAGCTTTGAGGGGGGGACGGAGAGGAACACGCTGGCTGCAGTGAGGGAAGGGGAGAGAAAGCTGCCCCCCCCCCCGCCCCTGAGGCCAGGGAAGCTGATTTCTCCTCTTTCCCAGGCCTCTACCCATCCTTCCTACTTCCTTTACAGTCCTGAGAGGAGGCCTGCTGTTCCTTCGGCTGCATTCCTGCTCTCAGACCTCCGGACGCAGTGCCGGGGGAGCGTGGAGGCAGGCCTGACACCTGCGGGCCTGTGAGGTATGGGTGCTACCTCTCCCCAGGTGGAAGCCACTCGTGTTATTTCCTGCCAGTTGCCCTCCACACAGCAAGGGCTGCTTCCGTGGTGCTCACACAACGTTCCAGCATCACTTCAGCTGTGAATTTAATTGAGGCCTCATCTGCCTCCTCCCCTGGGCCAGGAGCAGAACACGCTGAACAGAACCCAACCTGGAGCCCCCGCCCCTGCCATGCCCCATGGGCCACTGCTCCTGCTGACTGTGCTGTGACCCGCGGCCTCGGGCCTTGTCCATCCAGGCAGAGCTCTTCGGGACTGACCACAAATCCAGCTGTGCCCTCATTACGGGTGTTCCCTCACCCTTGGGCAGAAGGCTGCACCCCAGGGGCTCCATGGCCAAGGCACTGGAGGTCACCTTCTACAGTGCTGCCAAGCATGTCTGGGGCGGCTCTGCTGGGGGACAAAAGGTCACTCACTGCTGCAATGGACACATCTGTCTCCATGTCCCCTCCTCAGCTGGTCTGATGGGCATGGCCCACTAAGCAGATGTCACTTCCTTCCCAGAGGCAGCAGTATTTTGGAGGCAGGTAAGCAGATCAACCTCCAGATCATTAAACAGGGGAGACAGTGTAGTTGGGGGTGCAGTGGGGGCTGGGGTGAGGGGAGCTGCTCCCTAAGCCTGCACATCGCCTGGCTGCCTGCCTCCAGAAGTCTGGGCAAGGCAGGGGCAGGGCCCGTCTTCACCAGCACTGTGCTTCCCACGTTTTTGTAAGGAGGGGCGGTGAAAATCTGGAGAGAGCAGGCTTTCAGAATTCATTTGCTTGCCCCAGACAGGACAGAGAAACTGGCTTGAGGACAAATTCTGTGTCCCCTGTCATTCCCACAGTGCTCAGGTATTGGGAGCCGACCACGTGTGGGGAGTCAGCCCTGCTCAGGTGAATGGGGAAGGTGCATCAACAGCCAGCATAGTCCTTTTCGCAAAGGATGTGTGGCCTGGGTGGGGTGGCCCGAAGAAGGCTAAGTTTCAGAGGTGACCTCAAGGTGGAGCTGAAAACAGGGGTGCAGGGTGGGAGGAGGGGCCGCTTAGTGAAGTGGAGCACGTGATGTAGCGTGGGGTATGGGGGAACAGCCTGGGGCACTCAGGACCTGAAGTCAGTCTGCTTTGCTGGCAGGTGAGGTGGTGTGAGAGGGCGAAGCAGAGGTCACCCTCACGGAAGCCGTGACAAGGACAACGGACTCCATCTTCTCCAGGCTCTGAGGCTTCACATTCCTGTATCTGGAAGAGTCTTCCCTCTGATGTCCACAGTGCCCTTGCCTTCCATTCAAGTCTTGCTCAGATGCTCCTTGGTTAGAGAGGCCTTTCCTGGCACCCTTTACAGAGGGGTCATTCTCCCCCCATCCTGGTCTCTCCCCAGGTTAACATGCTCCATAAAAGCAGGGGCCACGTTCATTCTGTTCACGGCTGTGCCATGAACTGAGAGCAGGGCCTGACACAGAGCAGAGACTTCCTAGATACATATTTATTTAATGAAATGAATGAGACGGTCATGGCGAGCTACTTAGGGGTTTGGCACTATCCTAGTAACAACAGTCATTGCAGCAGATGCAGCAAGAGCAGGAGCGAGATCAGACCTGCAGCCCTGGGGGATGACACAGGAGAACAAGTCCCCAGTCCAGGAGCCCGGCAGCCACAGCTCTACAGAGCCAGACCACACTGCCAGCTGGGGGCCATCCACACATAAATCCAGGGACCCCAGGAGAGTTCTGGGAAGGGACTGTCACTGCAGGTCACCTCTGAGAAACCAGGAAGCAAAGCACAGGCCCAGGGGCTTGGGGGCAGGAAAGGACCCTGAGGCACTCTGGGAAGCAAGCTGTTGCTCTCATCTTCCTCCTGGCCCCCATGACACCAGGGGAAATGGTCTGTCCTCTCTTTGGGGCTCTGGCTCTTCCAAACAGTCTTTAAAGATGCAGGGAAACGGCGCCAACCCTAGCCTTCTGGAAACAGCCATGGTATCTGCAGAAGGCTGGGAGGCAGGAGACCACACTGCCCTTTCCTCCGTGGGCAGCATGGGCATAGGGCCTGGCCTCTCTGAACCTCAGGAGTCTCACTGTGAGATGCTGGCAGCAGGCAGGATGGCAGCGGGGAGGATGCCAGTTCTGTGTGACAGCGCATGGCACCGTGTCTCTCACTACTTTCCCAGTCATCTCCCTGGGGGAACTGGGCGGGGTCTCAGGCACGGCGCGGGGACCTCCTCCCCTCAGCTGGCAGCGCCCCGAGGGCAGGGCCTCCTCTGTGTTTCCTCAATTGTTTGGAGTCTGCTGGTCTGAGGACCTTCTACAATGGGGGGGCTACACTGGAAAAGGAGGGCCCTAGTTTAAAATGCAGTTTCCTAAGCCCTGTCCAGCAGTACAGACTGTTTGTTGCATTAAAAAAAATTATTATTTTGAGACAGTCTCGCTCTGTGGCCCAGGCTGGAGTGCAGTGGTGTATCTCAGCTCACTGCAACCTCCGCCTCCTGGGTTCAAGCGATTCTTCTGCCTCAGCCTCCCAAGTAGCTGGGATTACAGGTACCTGCCACCATACCCAGCTAATTTTTGTATTTTTAGTAGAGATGGGGTTTCCATGTTGGCCAGGCTAGTCTCAAACTCTCGACCTCAGGTGATCCACCCTCCTTGATCTCCCAAAGTATATTTGTTGCGTTTTAAAATTCGTATTTACTTTTATGTTTTTGAGACAGGGCCTCTCTGTTGTCCAGACTGCAGTGCAGTGGCACAACAGCTAACTCCAGCATCGACCTCCTGGGCTTGAATGATGCTCCTGCCTCAGCCTCCCAAGTAGCTGGGACTACGGGCAAATGGCACTACCCCCGACTATTTTTTTTTAGAGACAGGATCTTCCTATATTGCACCTCGGCCTCCCAAAGCACTGGGATTACAGGCATGAACCACCGCGACTGGCCTTGTTGCATTTTTAACAAGGCTCTCCACTGAGGCTGCCCTGGGAGGTTGGGGGTCCCTGTCCCAGGGAGCCTGTGCAGAGCTCCTGGAGGGCACAGAAGCTCCAGAATAAGGGCTGAGTGCTCCCAGCACAAGGCGAGGGCTGAGGGAAGCAGTACAAGAGGTGCCTAACTTCTGCCACTAGAGGGCGCCATGAGCCTTGCAACAGCCAGGCACCCCTGGCTCCCAGCTGGGTCCCCAGCCCTAAAGGAGGAAGCAACTTCCCTAAGGTTCTCCCAAGGGCCACACCTGGGTTTGCAAAAATTTGCATGCTGTTTGACAACTATATACTCCTTATCAAGCAATTTTACAGGCTGTCAGCTTGGAGCTTTTTCTATTTTTTCTCTTATGACAGAAACTGTCATCAACCCAGATTCTCCCTTGACAAGAAGGCAAGAGACAGAAAGAACAGAGGCAGAATCTGAACCCCAGGGGACCTCCGAAACCCTCCCAGGTGCACCCCTCCTCCTCTAGATGAGGACATAGCCCCCCAGGAAGGGGACGGATGTGTCCTGGGTACAGGGAGCAATGTGTCCGGAGCGGAGAGCCATGTGGAGGCTGCTCTGGGAGGTTCTGAACGTTCACCAGGGGAAGGAGACTTCTTCCCTGGGTGGGGGCCCGAAGGCAGGAGCTCAGGTTCTCAGTGATTCCCACCGTGGGAGCCCCACGCTGTCATGAGCCCACCTTCTCACACATGCAGTCCTGGTGGCTTAGCTGCTGCCGCCGGAGGGGAGGCACCGAAGCAGCCCCACTTGGCCATGATGTGGGAGGCTGGAGGCCATGAAAAAGGGCCTCTCAGGAGCGGAGCTCCTGGCTGGGCACGGCTTGTGCCTATAATCCCAGCGCTTTGGGAGGCTGAGGTGGGAGGATCATTTGAGGCCAGAAGACCAGCCTGGGCAACAGCCTGTCTATACAATTTGTTTGTTTTTTTTTTTGAGACATTATTCTATGACCCAGGCTGGAGTGCAGTGATGCGATCTTGGCTCACTGCAACCTCTGCCTTCAGGCTTCAAGTAATTCTCTTGCCTCAGCCTCCTGAGTAGTTGGGACTACAGGCACATGCCCCCATACCTGGCTCATTTTTGTATTTTTTTTTTAGTAGAGACAGGGTTCCACTGTTTTGTCCAGGCTGGTTGCGAATTCCTGAGCTCAGTCAATCCACCTACCTTGGCCTCCCAAAGTGCTGGGATTACAGGTGTGAGCCACCGCACCCAGCCTATACAAACAATTTTAAAAATTAGCCAGGCATGGTGGCACGTACCTGTGGTCCCAGCCACTCAGGAGGCTGAGGTGGGAGAATCACTTAAACCTGGGAGGTTGAGGTGAGCTGTGATCGCACCACTGCAGTCCAGTGAGACGTTATCTCGAAAACAAAAACAACCAAAGGCAGGAGAAGAGCTCCTGCGTCTCCCCGAGGCCTCTGGAGTGGGGAAAGGTCCTGTAGGGGAGCGTGAATTTCAGGGCTGCAGGTCCTAAGTGCCCCCACAAGTGGGCAGAGGCCTTGCCGGAGGAGGCCGCTCTGTGTTCATCTAAAGGACGGACGAGGAACAGGGTGATAGCTCTGGGCATCCCCGGACCTTCCTGGCTGTCCGTGCCCTCGCCCTCGCTCTTCCCTCTCTCTCTCTGTCCTAGCATCAGGTGTCCTGGAGCGGACGTTCCTGAGGGCACCGTTGGTGTCTGCAAGGCTGGCTACTGAGCCCCGTGGGCAGACACCAAAGAGTCGCAGCAGGGGCTGGGAGACCAATGGGGAGGGACGTGCAGAAGGCGGGTGGGGAGGGACAAGACAAAGGGCTTTGCGTTTCCACGGAAACCATACCTCAGGGCGAGGGGCTGAAGGAGGAGGAAGCTTCCACTCGACTTCAGTCAGGACTTGGGAAACAGCGCTTGCGGCTGCTGGGCTCACCCCTTCGTCCCCCTCCCTTCCCTGCCAGGTGTTCACCATGGCAACCCTTCCTCCAAACCAGAGGTACAGAGCAGCAGCAGCTGCTGGTGTTAGGGGAGCCAGCGAGTCCAGGAGGAACGGGGCCGGGGTTGGCCACCTCTCCCCTGACAGAACACGGCCGTGGCCAGGCCTGGTCTTGAATCCTGGCCCTACTACCACTCCCTGTGGCCTGGGACCCCTTCAGTCACCTCTGAGACACCTGCCACCTCTGTGCTTGAAGGGTGGCTATGGGGGCAGGAGGGGAGAGACAGCGCCTGTGCAGGAGCTGGCAGGCCAGCAGCTCAGTCAACGTCCCTAGGCCAAATGGAGGGAACGCCCTGGCGCTGCCACTGTGCCCACAGCCACAGACGCGCCCAGGCCTGTTCAAACTCCAAGAAGCAACGTTAGCCAACATTTCCTGAGCCCGGACTGTGTGTGTCAAGCTTCTAAGGCGGTGCTGGGGAATCAGCAGAAGGGATGACACTTGCGCTCCCTGCTCTCATGCCGCTACAATCTTGTCAAAGCTGGGGTGCAGGGACATGTGTGTCCTGGACGTCCTCGGGCTGTCCAGGACCAGACCCAGGCCCTGCCAAAGCCCACCGGGCCAGCCAGAGCCCAGTTCTCATCACTGGGCTCCACAGTGATGGAGGGAGAAATCCCATCACAGAAACTCCTCCAACTCGGGGACACAGAGATGAGAAAGCACTGCCACCAGCCGCCTGAAAGGTCACCCCAGAGACTGCTGCGTCTTGGGGATCCCAGAGAGATGCCCAGAAAGATGCTGCCATGGAACAGTCCCACCCAGGAATAAGCAGCCAGGTAGACGGCACTCAGCAGAGGGACACATGGAGAAACCAAGTCAGACTGCTCATCACAGACAGGAAAGTGGGTCAGGGCACTGGTGGGACACAGGGGAGGGTGGGTATGTCTGACTGGGTGAGATCCTGACAACAGGTGATGTGGCAAGGAAGAAGGCTTGTTGGAAAGAGCCCTGAGCTCAGAGCCAGGGTTGAGCCGCGGCCCTGCACCCCCTTTGCGGTGCGTCCGCTTCTTCACTTAGAAAGGAGAAACTTGCTCAGCGGACTTATTTGTCGGGTTACCGTGAGGGCCGATCTGAGTGCCTTCCAGCAGTAGTACTAGAAGCTCTCAGACCACTCCATGACAAGCCTGGAATCCTTCTCTTCTTTCAGACAAGAAGAAAGTGAAACTCAGAGCTGCGGGACTTGCCCAAGGCCACCAGGCAGCCAAAGGCCGGAGCCAGAATGGGAACCGAGGGCCCTGGAACCCCAGAGCTCTGCCCTCTGTGTGCCCGCAGATGCAATCTGCTCCTCTGCAGCACCAGGCACTGCTCCTGGCTAAGTGCCGCCGTGGAGCCAGGGCCAGAGGCCTGGGGAGGCACCGGGGTGGAGGGAAGAGGGCTCACCTGAGACCTCGGCACTGGAGTCCTCATTGGGCTTCTTCCCCATCAGAAACTCTACTTCGGAGAATGTCTCGGTGGAGGGGGAGCTGGCCACGCCATTGGGCACCGTGGGCCTCTTGGACCAGCGGCCCAGCAACTTGCTGCTGAGGCGCCTGCGCTCCCTGGCAGGGGCGGCCTCTGCCCGGGCCGCTTCTCCTGTGCCATTTCGGCTGGGCGCCTCTCGGGATGTGGGCTTTAGGTCTATGTGTATGCGAGAGACCATCCTGCCATCCTTCCGGCTCAGCACCCCCGAGGGGATGGGCTCCACAGGGGGCAGCACCTGCTCCACCGTGGCCAGGTCTCTCAGGAAGCTCTCCAGGCGCCGGGCTGATTCGCTGCCGCTGCCCTCCTCCTGCCCCTCCGGGTTGCCACCGGCCTCCCGCTGCTGCCGGGCGGCCCAGCGCATCATCTCCCCAGGCGGGTGGCGGCTGCCTGCCACCAAGGCATACTTGGGGTTGATGAGCTTGCGAGCCACGGTGGAGGAGTAGTGGTGGCCTCCCAGGCCTAGCTGCCGGTGCAAGTCCACCTCGTCGGAGATGGCATACAGCTCCCGGAACTCTGTGTCAAAGGGCTCCACGTTCTGCCCCATCAGGAGGAGGAGGAGGTTCCTGTCCACGTAGGAGGAACTCCAGGTGAACCTGGGAACATGGGGACAGAAAAGCAAGTGTGTGCACCGGCCTCTGTCTTGCCCTGCCCCCGCCCCCACCTGCCCTCTGCTGTGGCTGGATCCTTGCTGCAGGTGGAAGGCTCCTCGTAGCTCGTGTGCTGGCCTGACCTCCCTTCACCCACCCGTGGCCTCCCTTTCCCCAACTCTGGGCCTCAAATGAATCAAGCAGGCAGCTGGGTGCAGGGAAAGAGCATGGGAAGTCAGGCCTGGATTCAAACCTGGTTTATATGCTTGTGTGCCTTGTAAACTGGGGCTCCCAGCACATATGTTCATAGGGTTGTTGTGAGGCTCAAATGAAGCAACTCATATAAAACATTTAGCTCAGTCCCTGGCACAAACACACATTTGAAAAATAGCAACTGCAGCTGCCACTATTATGAATATTATTCTACTCTGTATTGGTTCTTCTCTGGGTTTTTTAGGCACTTAGTGTCTGCAGAAACCCACACTCTGACCACGTAACAGGACTTAACGCCGCTATTCTCCGTTTCGTGTGCTCAGGTCTCTCTTCTCCTCACCTTTATTTTAATTTACTTGGAGGGCAGAGATTACACACATACATTCTCTTGTGTTCTTGGTAAATTATTTTTAAATCAAAATTCTGAGGCTGGGTACAGTGGCTCACACCTGTAATCCCAACATTTTGGGAGGCTGAGGCAGGTGGATCACTTGAGGTCAGAAGTTCGAGACCACCCTGACCAACATGGTAAAACCTTGTCTCTATTAAAAATACAAAAACAATTAGCTGGGCGTGATGGCACATGCATGTAATCCCAGCTACTCAGGAGGCTGAGACAGGAGAATCGCTTGAACCCAGGAGGCAGAGGTTGCAGTGAGCTGAGATCATGTGAGTGCACTCCAGCCTGGGTGACAGAGTGAGACTCCATCTCAAAAAAAAATAAATAAATAAATAAAAATCTGGCAACCTTCCCTGCACACCACACCTTCCCATTTCTTTCCAGATCTGGTGCGTCCTACACATCCTACTTCCTGCTTGTCCTACCTAACAACTAGCCTCAAAATGCAACTGGCTGCAAATGGACCATGAAAGCAGGCAGTGCTTAATGCCTAGGAAGAGTTGACCCTCTTTCTAGAATAATCCATGAACCAGGAAATTTGTGGGAAGGGACTGGGCAGAAAGCTGTCCTTTGCCATTGTGTCAGATGATACCTGCTACAACTCATGATGATGGAGGCTCCAGTCTGGCATCTTCCTGAACGCCTACCTGGAATCAAGGCCTCCTGGGCCCTTCTCTGACTTGGCTCAACTCACCTGTAAGATCCAGTGGCCACTTTGTCACCATCCACCATCAGGAACCTTGATGACAGGGTTCCCTTGATCCTCCCCATGGGCATGTAGAAGCCGACGCCTGTCACGGAGCGGACACGGATGTTCTGTTGGGAAGAGTAGAAGGCCCTGTCACCGGCGTTGGGCTGGCCTCTGTGCCAGGTCCTTGCTTCTGCAGAGGAAGAGCCCCTTGTCTGCAGGCTCCTGTCTTCACAAGACGCTTTGCTTCCTACAGCCTAACAGAACCTTCTTTGGTGAGCAGGAAGAAGTCCCCAAATCTTGCTTTAGGCGTGGACAAGCCCAGGGTGGTTCCTGCCTGTTCTCAAAAATCCGCAGAAGAGAACCACAGCCCTCACTTTGAAGCCAGTAATTCTGCAGGCTGAGCACCCCAGGACTAGGCCAGAATTGCCTCCCACAGCTGCCTAGGGATAAAGTTGAAGCTGGGCATATGATTCAGTAGCAAACAGTAAAGCCAAGGTTAAAAGCTTCACTTTTGACAGAAGGAAATGGGTTGAGATCTTGAAGTTCGCCTGAGCCCTCAACCAGGGAAGAGGCAGGGGGAGCCATGGGAAGAGGCAGAAGGAGTCTCTGTCTCATCTCCTGCCCTCTTCCCGCCCCACGGGTGGAACTTACCCGAATCCGGAAGTCGGTGAGCTGCAGGCCCTGACACATCTCCAGGAAATACTTCACTCCCGCCTCGTCCAGGATGACGTACACTGGGACCCGGCGCTTACAGGCAACATCCACAATGTCTTGGAAGATATCACCATCCGTGAAGAGGTCCATGACCACAGCAATGACCTGAGTGGAGAAGGGCACTGGGGAGGCACGCGGTGATGACACACCCACAGGCATGCCCTGCACAGATGGGACCACCTCACCCTGGGGTCACTGGTGGCCAAGAGTCAAAAACTCCACCTGTATCATTCCTGGGGCTCCACGTCCACCTACCTTTGATCACATCTGAGTCCTGGAGATGGGCCTGGGGGTACACAGGCCGTGTGCTTGTACTTCATCCTGGACAAATCCCCACCTCCCCACCCTGGGGGTCTTCCAGCAGCTCTTAAGAAGCCATATCAGGGCTGGGTGAGGTGGCTCATGCCTGTAATCCCAGCACTTTGGGAAGCCGAGACAGGTGGATCACCTGAGGTCAGAAGTTTGAGACCAGCCTGGCCAATATGGCGAAATTCTTTATTAAAAATACAAAAAATGGGCTGGGTGTGGTGGTGGGTGCCTGTAATCTCAGCTACTCAGGAGGCTAAGATAGGAGGATTGCCTGAACCCGGGAAGTGGAGGCTGCAGTGAGCTGAGATGATGCCATTGCACTCCAGCCTGGGCAACAAGAGTGAAAAAAAAAAAAAAAATTAGCTGGGTGTGGTGTTGGGCACCTGTAATCCTAGTTACTTGGGAGGCTGAGGCAGGAGAATCACTTGAACCCGGGAGGTGGAGGTTGCTGTGAGCTGAGATCATGCCACTGCACTCCAGCCTGGGTGATAGAGTGAGACTCTGTCTTAGAAATAAAGAAAGAAAGAAAGAAAGAAAGAAGTTATATCAAGCGAGATCTAGGGGGCTGAAGAAAGTTGCTCCTGTCACCCTAGAGAACCAAGCAGGCACAAGGAGATGCCATCGCTGAGATGCCAGAGGTAGGCTCACCTCTGCCAGCCACAGATCTGCTCAAACATCACTTTCTCAGCAGGTCTGGATGCTCCGATGGCCTTGCAGCTGTGTGAAGCTCTGCGCTTCCCCAGGCACAGATCTGGGCAGAGCTCCAGCTGGCTTGGATTCCCTTGGCCTTCAGGTATCCATCTCATCCCACCCCATCCTCAAATCTAGGTCACTGCTCAGGACCCTGCATTTACAAAAGTCATTCCCGATCACCCACCCTGGAGGGCAAGGCTTCTGCAGCCGGAGGCAGCTCCATCTTTCTAACTGCAGCCACTTCCAGCTTCCTACACAAACCATGCTCCACACTCCAGGTGAAGGCTTTCTTTTCTCTTTTTTCTTTTTTTTGAGATGGAATTTCCTTCTTGTTGCCCGGGTTGGAATGCAATGGCACAATCTTAGCTAACTGCAACCTCCGCCTCCCAGGTTCAAGCAATTCTCCTACCTCAACCTCCGGAACAGCTGGAATTACAGGCATGTACCACCATACCCAGCTAATTTTTGTGTTTTTCAGTAGAGATGGTGTTTCTCCATGTTGGTCAGGCTGGTCTCGAACTCCCAACCTCAAGTGATCTGCCCACCTCAGCCTCCCAAAGGCTTTCTTATGGTCTCGAACACTGTGCATGTGATGCCGAGGAAAGGGCCTCGGTTTTGGGGGCAAGTCACTTAACTTTAATGAGACTCTGTTTCCTCATCTGCCAAGTGAGGATACCCTGTATTTTACACTTTTGCCCTGAGGATTAGGGATAACTTTGTAAAGCAGCAAACATCACGTCTGCTATTGTAGTAAGTCCTCAGTAAATGGTAACTGCTATACAGTCCAGGAAGTCAGCTTGCCTTAGTAACTGAAAGCACAGACTCTACAGTCAGGCAGACCAGGCTGGTATCCCCATGCCACAGCCAGCCCAGGCTTCTGTGGCCACAAAATGGAGCTAATAACTGTACCGATCTCAAAGGTCGTTCTAGGACTTAGCAAGATGCTCCATGAAAGTGCTGAGGGCAGGGCTGGGCGCGGTGGCTCATGCCTGCAATCCCAGCACTTCGAGAGGCCGAGGCAAGTGGATCACCCGAGCTCAGGAGTTTGAGACTAGCTTGGCCAACATGGTGAAACCCTGTCTCTACTGAAAATACAAAACTTATGTGGGAGAGGTGGTGGGTGCCTGTAATCCCAGCTACTTGGGAGGCTGAGGCAAGTGGATCGCTTTAACCCAGGAGGCAGAGGTTGCAGCGAGCAGAGATCGCGCCATTGCACTCCAGCCTGGGAGACAAGAGCAAGACTCTGTCTCAATTAAAAAAAAAAAAAAAAGTGCCAAGTGCAGTGCCCGACATCAGGTACGCTCAATAAGCCTGTCACGGTCGTGTCACCACCTTCACACTTCACACATGTGCTCTGCCATCACCCCGACTATAAAGACTCTTGTGCCCTGCCCCACACAATACCATTTAAAGCTCTTCGTAGCTCTTACATTTTGAGAAAGAAAGAAAAAAAACAAAACAAAACACTTCTATCTGAGGAATGAGAGACCCTGTAAATTACCAGGCCCAAAGAGGCATTTAAAATGTGATAGCAGCTGCAGTGGCTCATGCCTATAATCCCAGCACTTGGAAGGCCAAGGCAGGCGGATCACTTGAGGTCAGGAGTTTGAGACCAGCCTGGCCAACATGGTGAAACTCTGTCTTTACTAAAAATACAAAAATTATCCAGGCGTGGTGGCATGTGCCTGTAATAGCTTGAACCAGGGAGACGGAGTTTGCAGTGAGCCGAGATTGAGCCACTGCACTCCAGCCTGGGGGACAAAGTGAGACTCGATCTCAAAAAATAAAATAAAATAAAATAAAATAAAATAAAAAATAAAATGTTATAGCAGTCATGTCTCACTCCCCCTCAAGCTAAATAATAATTATTATTTAGTAAGTGGCTTGAAGCCACTTGCTGTATGAAGTATGTAGACTGACACCAAGTAGACGTAAAATGCTACACACTTGATAGTTCAACAGGGTAGGCCGGGCACAGTGGCTTATACCCGTAATCCCCGCACTTTGGGAGTCTGAGGCAGGAGGATTGCCTGAGCTCAGGAGTTTCAGACCCGCCCGGGGAACATGGCAAAACCCTGTTTCTACAATACAAAAATTAGCCGGGCATGGTGGTGTGGGCCTGTAGTCCCAGCTATTTAGAGGCTGATGCAGGGGGATCACTTGAGCTCATGAAGTCGAGGCTGCAGTGAGCCATGATAGCACCACTGCACTATAGCCTAGGAAACAGAATGAGACCCTATCTCAAAAAAAAAAAAAAAAAAAAAAAAAAAAAAAAAAAAGAATGTATAGCCAATCACTGGCAATGTTATTTCTGTAAACCAATGCAAATTCCTGACCAATGACTTTATTGTAATCTCCCCCTCTCCTGATTTCATGCTTTTTTTCTTTAAAAACTTGAGCCTCCCCAAGGAAACCTGGTAGTGTGTCCTGGGAGGCAGTCCTAAAACTAAGTCTTGGCCCAAATAAACTCTCTATACTAATTTTGCCTCAGCGTCTTCCTTTGAGGCTGACATTGCGATAATCATTCACGCAGGGAGAATGAATGCTTCATGAGCCCCACAGGCAGAGTGAGGACCTAAAGACAGATAAGCTACAATCCTGATTTCAAGGGGTTAATCCAAGTGGAATAAGACCTTTGCACAAAATAACTAAGACATGAGATAAATGAGATGAATGCCTTTAAGAATGTGACATGTGATGTGGTTTGGGGTCGGTGAATGAGTGGAGAGGAGAGATTACTTCCAGCCAGGGGAGAACAAGAAAGACTTTACCAAGGAAGCTGAACTGTGACGGATGGAAAGCCTTTGGCACTCCGAGAAAGGAGCGGGAGGAAAGCCGAGCAGGGCAGTTGTCTGGGCTGCCTTGCAGGAGTGTGTCCTGCACACAGGCACTGGCTGAGGAGGGAGCTGTGCCTGCCCCAGGAAGGGTCACCTTTTTCTCATCTACACACAGATGCCACGTGGTCTAGCAGGAGCTTGCAAGGGGAGTATTTCAGGGAAACGGCACAGCACAAAAAAAGGTACTGTGCTGGTTAATATTATATGTTTGTTTGGCTGGGCAAACATTATTCCGGATGTTTCTATGAGGGTGTTTTTTTAGATTAAATTAACATTTAAATCACTGGACTTCGAGTAAAGCAGATTACTCTCCACAATGTGGGTGCGTTTCGTCCAATCCACTGAAGGCCTTCGTAGAACAAAGACTGACCTCCCCTGAGCAAGAAGGAATTCTGCCAGCAGACTGCCTCTGGACTGGAACCGCAGCTCTTCCCAGTGTCTCCAGCCTGACAGCCCATCCTGCAGACTTTGGCCTTGCATCTCTATTATCCCACCAGCCAATTTTTTTCTTTTCTTTTCTTTTTTTTTTTTTTTTTAAGGCAGAGTTTTGCTCTCGTTGCCCAGGCTGGAGTGCAATGGCATGATCTCAGCTCACCACAACAGTCGCCCCTCAAGTTCAAGCGATTCTCCTGCCTCAGCCTCCCGAGTAGCTGGGATTACAGGCATGTGCCACCACATCTAGCTAATTTTTTGTATTTTTAGTAGAGACAGAGTTTCTACATGTTGGCTAGGCTAGTCTCGAACTCCCGACCTCAGGTGATACGCCTGCCTCGGTCACTCAAAGTGCTGGGATTATAAGCATAAGCCACCAAGCCCAGTTGAGCCAATTCTTTTTTTTTTTTTTTGAGACGGAGTTTCGCTCTTGTTACCCAGGCTGGAGTGCAATGGCGCGATCTCGGCTCACCGCAACCTCCGCCTCCTGGGTTCAGGGAATTCTCCTGCCTCAGCCTCCTGAGTAGCTGGGATTACAGGCATGCGCCACCATGCCCAGCTAATTTTTTGTATTTTTAGTAGAGACGGGGTTTCACCATGTTGACCAGGATGGTCTCGATCTCTTGACCTCGTGATCCACCCACCTCGGCCTCCCAAAGTGCTGGGATTACAGGCTTGAGCCACCGCGCCCGGCCGAGCCAATTCTTTAAAATCAATCAATCTCTGTCTCTCTGTGGCTCTCTCTTACACACAAACATACCCATCCAGTTGGTTCTGTTCCTCTGGAGAACCCTGACTAATACGGGAACTGAGGATGGGAATGAACATGTACCA